TTAAGTAAGTTAAGTTAAGCTAAGTTAAGCTAAGTAAAGTTAAGTAAGTTGAGTTAAGTTAAGTTAAGTGAAGTTAAGTTAAGTTAAATAAGTTAATAACTTAACTTAACTTAACTTAACTTAACTTAACTTAACTTAACTTAACTTAACTTAACTTAACTTAACGTACTTAACTTAACGTAAATTAACTTAACGTAAGTTAACTTAACTTAACTTAACGTAACTTAACTTAACTTACTTAAGTTAACTTAACTTAACTTAACTTATTCCAATTGTGAAGGAAAGTGCAATGCAATGTAAGTCGTAGAATGTATATCTCCCAATATAAAAGAGTATATTCTGAAAAGGCTCTTCATCAAATCCAATATCGATTTACTTCTAATTCAAACAGCACTGGAGACGCATCCTTCTTTTTCCTCCGAAGAGGGCAATGGGGTCGAAACGGTTTCGGAATGACTTATCATCAAGCGAAGCATGAGCGCATGGTCACTGGCAGTGACACAAGGCTTCATACAATCGCACCCGCATCTACCCGGGGTGGGCGGGCGGGAAAAAACATTCTTTGCTCGGCTCCAGTCGAGCCTGAACTTCGGAGATAACAACGACTTCATGCATGCACTTCCGGAAAAATTACTTGCTTTTAAAACAATAATTTTTCCTTCCATCACAAATGAAATAAAGTGGCAATCGCAAGCGATATGATCACTTATTCCAATTGTGAAGGAAAGTGCAATGCAATGTAAGTCGTAGAATGTATATCTCCCAATATAAAAGAGTATATTCTGAAAAGGCTCTTCATCAAATCCAATATCGATTTACTTCTAATTCAAACAGCACTGGAGACGCATCCTTCTTTTTCCTCCGAAGAGGGCAATGGGGTCGAAACGGTTTCGGAATGACTTATCATCAAGCGAAGCATGAGCGCATGGTCACTGGCAGTGACACAAGGCTTCATACAATCGCACCCGCATCTACCCCATTTGAAGTGCGATCATCCAGAAAGCAGTCGTTGCGTAGAGAACACCCTGTCAGCCCCCTGTTCGATCAAAGACGCAACCTCGCCTCTACTTGGTGGATCGGCCGGGTTAGAGTGAGTGGGCACCCAGCTATACCACGGTCGACATAAAACCGCAGATTCAGCTTCACCAATCAACTCGACAATTCTCGAACCGAGCTCAGTACCTGACGAGCCTGCAACCAAGGCAGCCTGGGCAGCCGAATTGTCGATGTAGGCTACCGTGAAGGAATCCTTGAGTAAGGTTCCCCAACATCGGAAGGCTGCCAGCACAGCATAGAGCTCGATCTCATAGATGGGATGTGATGACGTATCAAGCATAACATCCAAATCAGACGGATGCACTGAGCCGCTGAAAAAAGATACTGGCATGCCAGCAACATCGTAGAGAATTCCACCAATGCCTGCCACCACTTCCCCAGAGGGCTCATAAGAGCCGTCCGTGAAGAGGAAGAAAGTCCTCCCCGAAGCCACGTTGATGCAAAGAGGTGGCGCATTCTCAACATGGTCAAGAAGCTTGTCCAATGCGCCACGAAGCTCGTTGTTCACGAAGTTGGAACCCTCTCGCCCCTGTGCACGGCGAGATAAAGTCTTCATAGCAACAGCGGGTCCTCGACCAAAAAGATATGAGCTGTACCAGTGCAAACGGCCACGCAACACTTCAGCCTCCTTGGGTGACAAAGCCCCGTGGTCCAGATGATGCCTGAGAGTTTCACGCAGCTCCTGGGCCCTTCGTTCCGTGTGACGGATCGTCACACGACCGTCTGAAAACTCAGATAAGTCGAAGACCAATCCAAGAGCTGACACCGATGTACTGAAATTCGTTGCCTTCTTCCCTTCCTTGGCGTACTCCACGCCCATCAAGTCGAACAAGGCATCAGCGGCTCGTTCCACGCATTCAGCCTCGTCCTCGAAAGCAAAAACTGGAAAGTCGTCATAATAGGCTAGCCAAGGGATGGCCAACCCCTGCACTCCTGCATGCCACAGCGCTGCAGAAATCCGAAGGAATCCAGCTACACTTCCTGTAGCACCGAAGCTTAAAACGTTGGAGCCAAAAACTGCCACATCGCCAGTGTCCGTATTCATAACCCCGGTACGAAGAACCTTCCTGTCTTCCTCATGCACAGGGAATTGCTTGTAGGCACTAACCAGGTCATAGGTTTTGCCCAAGAGACGTCCCTTCCGTCCTCTCGCAAGCTTCAACAGACAGATCAGCGTTGCAGCGATGACGTCGACGCCATGAAGAGTGAAATGCTCAATCAAACCACAAAGTAGATTCAGACCACTCGCCTTGCCGTCGTCTATCACGCGGGTCTTGTCTCGCTGTTGGAGTCCAAATCTCCTCGACAGGATAATGCGGAGAGGATCATACGAAGAATCGAGAAATATCCACCCCTTCTCGATCTCCGCCTTGGTTTCCGACCAAGTAGCCTTTGCCACATCATCATTGGCACCCTTAGCAATCGAGCTCACCGTAAGAGGGGTCCGGTAAGCTGATTGAGACAGGAGCTCATCCTTTGTCAAGGTGGGTGGCCTCAGCCGTTTTGGAAAAACTCCCGATGCAGGCATCCACCCCGTTAAACGAAATCCTTGCTTCAGGTCCCTCCACAGGTCCACATCAGCAAAATCAAGCGAGGCCAGGATGTCCCGCCAAAGAAGCACATTCTTATTGGCAAGCACCTTCCTTATATAATCAGGTCCCTGTGAAAGAAGCCTCTCATTGTCAGAGGCACACTCCTCCCTGATCACTTTCCACGCAGCCACCGTCTTGTCGACGAGCAGTTCCCGCTCATGCTTCCCAAGCAAGACACACTTAGCCACAGACTGGGCAGGCCCATCCACAGCATCTTGCAGAAGGTTTCTTGGGTGTCCGGCCATGACAGCGTGCCGAATAAAGTCATCAGGTTCTCTTGGGATGCCAAAACACAAGAGCTCGGCCATGTCGTCGGTAGGCCCGCACTCATTCGGAAGAACCAGGGCTACCACTTTGTGTGTGGCCACCTCCTCACACGCCGGGTCGAACTCCATGCTGTCATGTCGATGAGGCTCTGCAAACTTGACTGTGACATCCCAGGATGCTGTCGCCTGTCTATCCAATGATGGGCAAAATGACTCGGCGCAAACCCGCACTCTGCCCCATGGAACAAGTTTGCGTCTCAACACCTTGGAGCCCTTGGGATACAACAAAACGATGCGATCGGGCCAGGCATCACGAGGTAGCGGAACAGCCCAAGTGTCATAACCCGCATAGTTAGAGACCAAAGGTCGAGCATAACGGAGCTGTTTGTCCAGGAAAACCTGTGTCGCCGCCCGAGGACGCAGAGCAGCCACATGAGGATGAGCATCGGCCAGCAAAGAAGCAATGCGGTCGCAAAGGGTAGGCAGCCTCGTGGTGCGTAGGGAAGTCGACCCCCGAAGCACTGAATCGTGGCCTCCACGAGGCATGCGGGTGATCCTTGGAGCACCGAAGTGCCAAGGAATCGAAGAAATGATCACTACACCACCACCGCGTGCACTTGTCACGAGTGCCACCGTGCATACAGTGATCAAAAAGCACCTCGGATGCGCCAGGGTAATACAAAAGTTCATTCATCCCATCACAAAGCCAGGCCAGCGAGTTGGCAGGGTTCTCCACCGTAACCCGGATGTCAAAGGAGGTGGCGACATCAACGATGCGTCCGACGGCTGCATACAAAGTGTTCGCTGCCATCACACGAAGCAAATCCTGGCCTTCGAGAGCGGGCAAGCCCATTGGGAATTGAACCGACCTAAGGGGCTTAGGGGCGCGAAAACCAACCCGGTCTAAGTGGGGAGCGGGAACAGACCGGGCAGCGGAGGCAGTTCCGCACGGCGGTGCGAGATGCACAAGAGCAATCTCCGCACGTTCTTGACAGATGATGTCCAGGAGCATGTTGAGGTCGTGCTCCTGAGTCAAATCCATGGTCTGAATAGGAAAACGCGACTGCTTGGAAGCACGATCAACCGCCAAAGTCCTAAACCCAAAGTGCATGCAAGCGGAGCTGAGCACAGCAGTGCCAGCGAAGACCTCGATGACGAAGGGTGACCTGCGAACAGGAAAAACATCGTGCATGCAATTGTCATTGGAAGGCGCCACCACAGGCACATCAACGCTCTGGTCAGCGGAAGACGCAGGGTCGACATAGCTGGGGGACGAGGAGGAGTCGGTGCACAACGCTGGATCTTGTGAAGGCTGACCAGCACACGCGTCGAAAGTCGACGCCGGGCCAGCGCACGCCGAACGGTGCATGGGTTCAGCGCGGCAGGGCCGAAAGGCCAAGCGGCACAGCGCGTCCCGGGCATCAGCAGGTAGTGTACTGATATTACGCACTTGGAAGGCCACAAGCATCAGTCGCAGTCCAGTCCAGCCACAGGTGGCGTGCCGGAGTCGTGCATTGAACTGAGTGGGCCCACCTGACGTCTCAAGCAACGAACCTGTAAGAGTCGGGTCGAGAGTGCAAGGCACCGAGCCGGGACCCTCAATCCAGACCTGGCCGTTCTCAAAATGAGAACATGGGATTAACAAATTGTCACATCCGAGTTCGTTGTTTTCGTCAGAGTGCAACGGCGTAGAGATGTTCCGAAAGAGCGCGACAGCACTGAAGGATGCATCAGGGAAAATTGCAGAAACAATGGATGCAAGCAGCATGGAAGCTGCTGGAAAGCAGCGGGCGTTGGCACGCAGACCACAAACATCACTATACACATACGCCCCGGTAGTAAAAGATTTGGCGGGTTCGCCTACGGGCACAGGTTGACCCGAAGCACGCGCAGGCTTCTCCCCCGGAAGCGCCTCCATCAAAAGACGCAATTGCTCATAATTGATGCGGCCGTCCAAAAGACAAGTGACAGCCAGTGACTCGGCCTCCGTTTCACACGGGAAGCGGTCAGAAGCATCGGGCACAACAGGAAAAAAGAAAATGTTGGCATATGGCCGTACACCGTCAAGAGCCTCGGCTTGCACCGAGAGTCACTCGGCCTTGGAGCCCTTCCAACTTCGTGCACGGCAGTTCTGAAAGCTATGGCCAGGCTTCCTACAGAAAGCACAGACATGAACACCGCGCGAGCAAGCAGGGGGTGAACCAGACGTCTGAGCCTTGCAACCGTCCTTCAAGTTATGCGACCAGCAAATGGCCTTGCCGTCAGCGGTCTTCTGATGACACGAAGCCAGCTCTGCAAGAGGAGTCAAGCGAGCACCCTTGTTAGGCGGGTCAGTACGCCGGGGCGCTTCGGCACCGGCCCGTTTCGCAGCCTCCGCCTCACGACGACGCTTTTCCCGCTCACGACGCTTGGCAGCCCGTGTCTTGGCAGTAGCTGCGGCACCTGGCGGAGTCGGGGGCCTGTCAGCATCCGTCACAGCCACAGACCTTTTGAACGGCATTGCCATCAAGAACATGGTAATGCGTGGATCAGTCCTCAAATCCTGGAGCAACAGACATTGGAAATGACCCGTCCACATTGGGCCGCAAATCACGCACCTCAGCAGCCATAATGAGAAAGGCCTCACGATCAGGTTGCACAATCTGGGCCAGATTAGGTCGAGTGAAATCGGCAGGGCAGTCACGGGTCATTGACTGCAAAAGAGTGCGCACCGACTTTTCATGCACGGACCAGGACATGAGCTTGCATTGATCCAAGGCAGGGCCGCGGCGCTGAAGGCACCACTGCAACTTCAGAGGCGACGAGTAATCAGCCTCGTCCTTGTGCGCCTCTGAAGAAACCTTAAGCGTGTGATCCTCCAGCTTGAAAACCTTAGACTGATCGCGTGTGGAAAGCTGGATCTCCGACTCTCGGCTGGTACATTTGCTAGGAGAAATCCAAGTGATGGAATTGAGATCAACCATGTGATTACACAAGTCGACGAGGGCATGTGATGGCACGGGTTCCCGCTCAATGTTCACTCCAGCTAAGCGATTCCGTTGCTCAACTTCGCGAGCAGCTTTCTCTGCCGCTGGCAGGCGCCGCGGTACTTCGGTGGATTCTGATTGCACTGCTTGCTTCAGTTGCGCAATGACAAACGTGGAAGCTTCAAACATCAAGCGCTTGAGCAAACTGACATCCCCAAGACGCGGTGCAGCCCCAAGAATGCGGCCCGTAAAGGCATCAAACTCGGCAGAAGTGGGCCTTTCCTGAGGTGTGCCGCAAGCGTAGGCGAGTTTAGCGAAGGTTGATAATCCTTGCGCGGCCAGCTGCCCGCGCAAGCCCTCGGCATCAATCTCCTTGCATCTCTGAGCGAAGGCGGCTTCGCTATCCACCAATGCCATGGCAGCAGAAGATATCTGATCACAGCCAAAATCCTGAAGAGGTTTAAAGTCCTCTCCCGCAAACAAGAAAGAAACACTCCACGATGCAAACATTTGAATTCTCGGCTAGCATCATGTCTGAAGCACAAACATGCATGTCTCCAAGACTCCATCCTGGAAACACACACAGCGTGCCACCTTCAACAAAACACAGGTCTCCAATCATCATTAGACGATCTTCTAATCGTCGCAAAATGCATGTCCCAGTTCGTTTGGGGCCTGGGCAACATGTTACAAGGAACAATCGAGCCTTTACAACCCATCTGCAATCGCCCTGCGCTTGCAAGTACGACACACAGACGAGTCAAACGGATCAGCCCCGGGGGCTGATACACATCTGTGATGCTACGACCACACACCAAAACTTTGTTGTAATCAAGGTTTCGATAGTGCAAAATTCGAGAAACCCTGTGCTGTACGAAGCTACACCCTAAAGGGGGTATTGGAATGCCAATCCTGAAATCAGCGCGAACAGCCTCGGCCTCAGAGACCACCTCACGAGATGATTCACTTCCCTCCTCCGACGAGCTGGAAGAATTCGAAGACGCAGGCTCCACTGGCGGCACATCGGCCATCTCTACCCCAGAGCCAGCAGGCGCCTCTTCCGTGTCAGAAATGGCAGCGTCCGGGGAGTTGTGGTATGCGTCGCCATCGTCACACTCCTCACCTGGTTCAAGGGCAGATACGGGATCAGAGACCTCGGCCCAAGACCCCGGAACACTGTCGCGCAGCTCGGACTCACCAGGCTCAGCAGCACACAAACGCCCAGCTCTCGAGGCATCTGGTTGAAAGACCCCCGAACGAATCTCCTCAAGGAGATTCTCCAGGAGTCGAAGTGGCCTTGCCGCGAAATCATCCCCATATCGATCAGCCATCGAAGCGTCGTGCGCATGACCACCCAGAATGAGCTTATCCCGTGGGTCGAAGCCTCTCTTGTTCGCCCACGAAAGACATGTTCGCTTGAGCGAGTGAGCAGTCGTTCTGAGCCCGTCACGCCCTGGAAGTACACGCTGTAACCAAGCAGTTATTTCGCCTGTCAAGACAGCCCTGGCAGTAGCCCCACCTCCTTCGCGGGGCACAGGAAGTGGGGGCTGACACGATTCGAGATCAAGCTCCTTCCGTACCTGCATCCAGAGCTTCACCCAGTTATGCCTGTAGATTCCCTGAGCAGGTGCGACCCAAATCATAGGTTCGCCATCGAAAAACTTGGCATTCATGGTTTTGAAGACCTCTGCACGGAACTCCAGATACACGGGCTCATGCACATCGTCATAATCTATGCTGAAAGCACAAGTGTGTTGAAAGTCGCTCCAACGGCACGCATGTACAGGCATGCAAGGCATGCCCCTGAGAACAGCTTGTCCCACACCGAATCAGCAGACTCAAGAAGCATATGTAACACTTCCAAATCACAAACTCGCAACGGATGAGCTTTGGTCCTCCCTCGCTTGGCCCCCCGCCGGGTGATGCCTAAGATTCGGCGACTCTTCACGATGGGCTCCAGGCACGGCACATCAAAGACAAACCGTACGAAGATCAGCGCCTCCCTCAAGGAGGCAAGCTGCGAAGGTTTAGCCCCGCCTGCCTTGGCGTCACGCATATAGCAATAGACGGAGTGTTCGCGGTAGGGCACCACGTCAGGCCCCCAGCCCACCTCCTTGTGATAGAGCAGAATGCTGTTAACCCTCTTGATCAGAGTTGCAGGAGCACGTGGGTGCATCCAATCAAGAAGCGAATCTTTCCGCCCCTCATTATCCGAAATGGAAGCCATGGCCTTCACAATCTCCAAGTCAGGCCAGCAATCATCTCACCTCGAAATAACAAGAAGCCAGCGTCCTAAAGCCTTGTCGTGCTCCTTGGAACGCTGGTCCTCCCAGGACACGTCCGCTTTATGACGGACGACCTTGAAGGCGATTGCCCCGGCCTTCCAGTCGGAGCATTCCGTACGTCTCTTCTTAACTTCCGGAGCACTCTCAGCCTCCCTTTGAAAGTCTTGCGGTAACTCAGGACATGCTAGCTGATCATCAGACAACACATCATTACGATCTCCAAAGATCTCGCCCCACACACCGACTTCCCACGGAAGTCGAACGTTTCCAGCAGTGGTGGATCTTGAAGTCTGAAAAGCATGTGATAACAGCCCTCTGAACGATGCCCCGGAAGCTACCCCACTTGAAAGATCGGACATCGTGAAGAAAAAATGGCTCGAAAGAGAACTGTGCAGCTAATCCAGCGAGTGGAGATCAACGATGGATGGCGCGGCCCGATCAGTATCTTCTGGCAGCCCTTCAACCTGGGTGACCCGGCGGGCCAACGCACAGTGCTGAGCCCAGAAGTCGTGCAGCTTGGCTGATAAATAATCGATGCGCCGATGAAGCTGGGCAAGGGCTTCAAGAGTCTCGTCCTCAAAAGCCTCGAGACGGGCTCGAAGGCCCTCAATGGACATGAGCACGACGCAAGCCAGCACGAAACAGGAAAACTTGAGCACATGCCATGCAAGCGTACTGTCATGAAAGAGAGAGAGAAAAAGCGCACAGCGTCACAGCTCCAGTGAAGGTCAACGGGTCCAGGCGGACTCCAGTGATCAGCACTCACTCCGGCCGAAAGGTTTATTTTGGACGCGAAATGCTTGACATGAAACAGTCGAGTGCACCTGCAGCCACCTTCCAGGAAGGCAACAAGAGCACCTGTGTAGCAAAACGAAATGCAACGTGCCTGCACTCAAAGAAAAGACTCGGCACGCGTTTTAAAAATCACCCCTCAAGCTCAAGTTGCCGGGAGGTACAGCCGAGATGCTTCTTGAAGCCAGCAACGCAGTCATAGTAGCGCTTCTGAATCACAGGCCGAACTTTGGTCACGGGAACGTCCTTGCAGACGGTCACCCAATCAAGCGGCAGAACCCGAAGACTTCTCCTCCGCCACGGGCTTGTCGTCCTTCTTGGCGCCCTTGGCTTTGGGTTTGTCGTCCTTCGTCACGCCCTCGGCCTTGGAGCTATCGCCGGTCTTGTCGTCATTCTCGTCCTCGAAAGTGGGCCGTGACACTCGAGCCATGGCTTCTTCGATGTCACGGAGCGCAAAGCCAGCCGCAAGGAAGTGTCGCTCGGCCGCGCGGCAGGCCAGCTCGTAGTCTTCTCTCTTCATGACCGCCGGCAGTCCTTCTTCGTCCACGTCCTTTGTCAACCCGGTGTCGCGGAGCAAGACTAGTCGCTCTGCAAGGCGACGGTCGTCGCCTTCGGTCGGAGCCACGTTCAGCCACGGTTCCATCATCCTGATCAGGTGCGATATGACGATGAGGAGCTGCGTGCTCGGGCGCCATCCTGCACCCACCTGTTCGTGCAGCATCTGCTTCTCGGCCTCATCCGGCCGTCCGGCCTGCCTCGAGCGCTTCATGGCGCCTCCAAGACGCAAGCGGCCTATCACGAGACAGCCGGAATTCAGCCGTCCCGTGGCCAAGCAGTTCTCTTAGCACCCAGAGCCTTTTAGGATGTCGTAAGAGCTTAGCGAGGCCACAACAACTTTCTTTGCTCGGCTCCAGTCGAGCCTGAACTTCGGAGATAACAACGACTTCATGCATGCACTTCCGGAAAAATTACTTGCTTTTAAAACAAACAAATGTAATAAAGTGGCAATCGCAAGCGATATGATCACTTAACTTAACTTAACTTAAATTAACTCAACTTACTTAACTTAACCTAACTTAACTTAACTTAACTTACTTAACTTATCCCGACTTAAATCTCTTACTTAAAGTTTAAATATTCTTTCTAAAGCGGGAG